TCACAGGGTTGTCATCAGCGGCACTGAGTCTAGTTGAAGGCCTGTAACTAGTGGTGTTCCCTAGGGGTCAGTACTGGGCCCAGTCTTGTTCAACTTCTTCATCAATGACCTGGATGAAGAATTAGAGTGTACCCTCAGCAAGTTTGCTGATGACGCAAAGCTGTGAGGAGTGGCTGATACACCAGAAGGCTGTGCTGCCATTCAGTGAGACCTGGACAGCCTGGAGAGTTGGACACAGAGGAACCTGATGAGGTTCAACAAGGGCAAGTGCAGGGTCCTGCACCTGGAGAGGAACAACCCCATGCACCAGTACAGGCTTGGGGCTGACCTGCTGGAGAGCAGCTCTGCAGAGAGGGACCTGGGTGTACTTGGTGGATGACAAGTTAACCATGAGCCAGCAGTGTGCCCTGGTTGCCAGTGGTATCCTGGGGTGCGTTAAGAAGAGTGTGGCCAGTAGGTTGAGGGAGGTTCTCCTTCCCCTCTACTCTGCTCTAGTGAGGCCCCATCTGGAGTACTGGGTGCAGTTCTGGGCTCCACAGTTCAAGAAAGATGAGGAACTACTGGCGAGAGTCCAGCGGAGGGCTACGGAGATGGTGAGGTGACTGGAGCAGCTGTCCTCTGAGGAAAGGCTGAGGGAGCTGGGCTTGTTGAGCCTGGAGAAGAGAAGGCTGAGAGGGGACCTTATAAATCCTCATAAATATCTTAAGGGTGGGTGTCAAGAGGATGGGGCCAGACTCTTTTCAGTGGTACCTGGTGACAGGACAAGGGGCAATGGGCACAAGCTGAAGCGTAGGAAGTTCCACCTGAACGCGAAGGAAGAGGGTGATGGAGCACTGGAACAGGTTGCCCAGAGGTGTTGTGGAGTCTCCTTCTCTGGAGATATTCAAAATCCACCTGGACAAGGTCCTGTGCAGCCTGTTCTGGGTTACCCTGCTTCGGCATGGGACTCGGACCAGATGGTCTCCAGAGGTCCCTTCCAACCCCTACGAATCTGTGATTCTGTGACCAGGCTAACAACCTGCATCAGAGCTGGGGAGGCTGGGGTGTGCACCCATCTCTGTGCCTTGCTGGGGCAGTGGGACCAAGCTAAGCCAGTGATGCCCATCCCACTTTATGTCTTCAGCTTCTGCAGTCAGTAGACCCTTTGTGGAAGTAACAGGGCCAGTGGGGGTTATTAGTCTCCTGTATCACTCTGTGAACCTCACCTGATGAGACTTTCATGAACACACGACAGAAAATGAGAAAGTATTTTTAATATGACAAGCTGGGAGGTGTTAGTAAAGCATTATTGCTTATTCCTCCCCCATTAGACAGGCTGTGAAATGGAGATATGAATGATAGGTGGTTTTTAGGCATTTTAGTTGTTTTTCCTCATTTTAACTCTCTAGGAAATTGACTCGGTGACCTGCATCCTTGTCAGAGTATTCTCTTTCCTCTCAGCCTTCCTCCCACGAGTATCAATTACTCCGCTTTTACGAAAGGTGCTTGGTAGTGATTTACTCGCTGGTGGTGTGATAGCAGCAGGCTGGGATTGAACCTGACTGGGCGCTGTGCTCGTGCTTCCAGAAGTGCTGTCTTTGAGGACTGAAACTGTCTGCTCTGTAGCTTTTTGCTTCTTGGCGAACCCCATGCTGATGTAGTCCATCCATCCACAGAGGATGAGACAGGGTGAAAGTGAGTGCCTCTGTGTGTGAGGTGGGATTTCTCATTTTTGAAACTACGAAGATTCTTATGAGATGTATATGTATATATATATATAGTGTGTTCCATAAAGACACAAAAATTGTTGTCAAGCAGTCTTTGTTTTTCTGTGGGGGGTACCTTTAGTAGCATTACTGATGGTAAGTTTAAAGCATGAGCAGGTTTCTGAATTGTTCGTAGTTTTTAGCAATATTGCCAAGCCCTGCAGTTTTACTGCGAGACGCAGGTTTGCTATTTCTCAGAGCACTGCCAGGGCAGGTGTCGTGGGGTTACACCAGCATATTATGGACTCTTGTGCCAGAGTACTATCAGAATAGTATTTGCAGCTGGCAACAGATTTTTGTTCTTTTACGCTCCACATAGAGCTCATCTTAAAACCTGCTAGCTTAGCTGCAGCAGGAGGAGATGTGTGTGCATGGTAAGTAAGGAGACGTAATTTGGAGGTTGGGTCCAGTCTCTTTTACAGTGATGAATGCATCCTTTTGCATTGTATTCGGTGTCTTTGGGATTCTGAATCCTTAAGCACACAGGAGGCTTGTGTTATGCTGTCAGGGCCTGGACAGAAAGGCTGGTATGTGGGGAGGACGAGGGTTACAGGTCCACTTTCCTCCTTTCTGACCGGTTTGGGAAATTGTGAGTCATTCACGCCAGCGTTTCAAGTTGAAAAGGTTTAGTATTGCCCCACCTTGTGGTGTAGACAGACTGCTCTGACAACCCCAAATCCACACTGAACTTGGAGAGGCAGCCGATGTAGCTGTTAAATGGCATGGGAAAGTGAGGTCCTGCTGCAGACTAAGAGCCCAGGTGTTGTAACAGGATTCAAAAATAAACAACTTCGGCTTTATGAAAATTGTAAGGCACTACCCTCAGAAGCAGCAAGCACGTAGAGATGTCTGTTAGTATTAGTCGTGAATTTGATGGTGCTGCATCTCGTGGATTTCAGCCTGAGTTTCAACCTAAGGACAAGCGTGAAAGTGTGTGTTGCGTTTTCCTTCACATAGACACTGATTCCTTGAGTTGTGAATTACTGGTGCATCACTTGAGACTGAAATATTGTGGACATCAGAGAGACAATGATGTTTCCATCTCTTTGGTCTGCAGTGAACTGAGCCACAGGCATCAGTAAACAAGGCAGCTCAAGGCTGGCATTGCCTTTAATGCACAGACTGAGGCCAAACAGGGAGCTGGAGGCAAAGCATCTTCCCATAACTGCTGGTGACACAAACTCTCACCGACATGAAGTAAGGATGCAGGGTTCATGCTTGAGCTTTGTGCTGCAGCTGGTGCCAGACCCAGGATTTCAGGTGCCCTGTAATAATGTGACTACAGTGAGTACAGCAGAGACTAACATGTTGGAGAGCCAGGCTTGCTCTCCTTCGGTCAAAGTCTTGTAGGAGTTTCTAATGTGGGTTAACATGAATAATTCAATCCATCTTTTTTTTTTACCATGTTCAGAGCTGTGTAACTAAATACCAATTTGCTAAACATAACTTGAATAATGAAGCGATCCGTGGCTAAAAGCCTTTCCTCAGTACCTATACTCCCGCTGAAAAAAAGACAGAAAATAGAGCTGTATCCTCTCTTCCACTGTTTTAAAACAGCACAGATACTCGCAAAGGGGAATATTCATCTTCATCACGGTTTGCTCCATGGATTTTAATATGTGCACGTGTGGCATGCCCAGCAAGTGAGAAGTGGCGTATGCAAAGTACTGCCGGTCTTTCATCCAGAGCTTTTTGTTTTCTCAGTCACCAGACCTAGTTCATTCCATGGAGAAACAGATTAAAAGCTGCACTTGTGTTTCTTGCTCGATTCAGAGGTAACAGCTCAAAAAATATATTTATGTGCAGCACGGTCACATTTTGCGTAGGAGTATAGCTCTGTATCTGTTTTGTACAACTTCTACTCAAATTGTACCAATACTATAGGTTATTTTGTTTTTTCTCAGTGGCAACTTTGCTCCCTGTGATGAAACACAAACATCTGGTAGCTTGTAAGAGGCTAAAAATATTCTTTAAGCTGATAAAAGCACGATATGACTTTTGAAAATATGAAGTGTTTTTTCCCCATGCTGTTACTTTCTTTAGGTCACTTTGTGTTAATGATGCCACAGTCTCCTGCAAGAGTGACTTGGTCTGTGGGATGGCAGGCTGAAGACAGGGATTCTCACTGTTTTCCTCTCTTTGCTCTGGGGTGGACCATTTGTTGTTTGTTCACTGAATAAAGGTCTCAAACCTGGGAATTTGCTAGTGGCGTTCACTGCCACACAATCGCTGCCTTGTGCTGAGGATTTTGCTGCTCATGTCTCAGAAATGCAGGAAGAGGTTCCAGCAAGCAGCATCTGTTTTCCTGTAATTTTTATTTTGGAAGTGATCAGCTTTTCTAAGCTTTCTAAGCTAATTTGTAATTAATTGAGTGTAGGAGTTTGTTACCTAGTTCCTTTTTTTTTTAAAAAAAAAAGCGCTTCACTTTCATTTTTCTGCTGTTTCCTTTGTTAGCTGATGACAAACATTTATTTGAATGGTAGCAGTATACCATGGAAACTGTAAAATTTATCTTGAAGAGCTGCTTAAACATCTGTTAGAGTCCTGAAAACCTAAATGCTTTGGTTTATTTTCAGGCTAACCTGTTTGGGCATTGATTTTCTAGCTGATGCTTTGGCCCAGAGAGTATAACCTTGCTTATCTACATAAATTTTTTTGTGTTGCTGACTTGTAGAAAAGCGGTTTTCGTGGTACACTAGATGTTTTTGCCTTGCAGAACAAAAACCAGGCTTCCTATTCAATAACTAGGTGCAACACATTGCGTTGACATACCAGTCTGTAAGGGGGAGAGACAGTTTGTGACATGAATAACACTAAACATTTGTTCTGTAGATCCTTAAATCCATTAGTATTAGTAAGAGGAGTTTGGGTACTGGTTATGGACCAGAGCCACGTAGTTATAGAAAATTTAACAAATACAGAGTGCGAAGAAGTCCTTCCCACAGCTGCAAAGAGTTGTTTATAATACAAAACTGTTAAAGCTCTTGAGAAATCAGTAGCAAGCTTGGAAAGGACAGCACTGTGTGTACAAGGCTAGGGCTCAAATCAGTCTTTTCCATGCCAGAACCTAGCTAATATTTTGCAGTAATTTTGTCTTTAAACATGAATTGCAAACTACTGGTAAATGCTGTCCTAATACCTGACTTGGGGTTTTTCTCCTCCCCAGGAAGAAGAATGCCAACATGAATATGAAGTGAACTGTTTCCTGTGCTTGCCACAGCGCCTTGATGCTTGTGTCGGATGGTTAGAGACAGGGACTTGCCTCTCGCCAAACTGCTTCCTCAGACAAGATGAAGCCAAGGAGGAGCTTTCTGACACATTGGAGTCACAGTGACTGCTGCCCAGTTTAAAATCGATGTCAGACTGTGCCTCAGCTGCCTGGCGAGATGAAAGAAGTGGTGTTGTGGTCACCTGAGGAAGTGACAAATTGGCTAACAGAAAATGCTGTGCCGGAGTACTGTGAGCCATTGAAGAGCTTCACCGGGCAGGATTTGATCAGCCTCACAGAGGAGGATTTTAAGAAGACTCCTCTCTCCCGGGTGTCTTCCGACAGCGGACAGCGGCTATTGCACATGATTGAAACTTTAAAAATGGCTCACCACATTGAGGCTCACAAAAACGGGCACATCAACGGGCACATCCACGTCAGTGTGAGCAACACCATGCGGGAGAATGGCTTTAGCAGTAAAATGAAGCTGAATGGGATGCCAAATGGGTATAAGAAGGAGATGATAAAGATCCCCATGCCAGAGCCAGAGCGCTCACAGTATCCTATGGAATGGGGCAAGACTTTCCTGGCTTTTGTTTATGCACTTTTTTGTTTCGTCTTTACCACAGTGACTATCTCAGTCGTTCATGAACGAGTGCCTCCCAAGGAGGTGCAGCCTCCCCTGCCAGATGCTTTTTTTGATCGCTTTGATCGGGTGCAATGGGCTTTTTCTATTTGTGAGATCAACGGCATGATCCTTGTAGGGCTGTGGTTTGTTCAGTGGCTGCTTTTAAAATACAAGTAAGTAAAACCATTTGAAAACTGAGTGTTAGAGTATACTTCTGATGGCTTTTGGAGGTCAGATACTGGTTTACATCCAAACAAAATGAAGCTGCTTGTGATCTTTCTGATTTTGGCGTCTGAAACTGAAATAGTGATCATGCCACAGTCTCTGCAGTTTGTATGGGCTGCTAGTGGAAAAGGGAGAAGTTCAGTCCAACTGCTATATAAGAAATTAAGAAATAGCCCTGATCGTCTTTGCCTGCACAGTTAACTTGAACCCTTTTCGTGTGTGAAAAGTCATAGATTGGATGTAATGATGTTCTTAACTCAATTGACTGTCCTGTCTGTTTAAAGGGAGCACAGCTCACAATGGTGTCAACCTGGGGTTGATGTATTGTCTCTGTAGTTCGCCTGCTGTAAAGACCTAACCTAAGATTATGATACTCTTGGACAAAACCAGCAGGCATGTACCTAAACAGTGCTGTGTGGAAAAGAATTTAAATACGTTTTCTCTGTGACATTAGGTGGGACAGGTGGTGTCAAACACAAAGTATGCTAAAAGCTAATCATAGAATATAGAAAAGCATAGATACGCAATGAATTTGCAAGGTCTTAATGGTTGTCTGCCTCCTTGCTTATACTGGTCAGAATTGCAAGGGTGAATTTGCCTGCCAGTGGAAATAACCTACTGCTTACTGTCTACAGAGCGCGTGTGGATGCTTAATTTAAGGTATTTATATGGCCATAAATCCACACCTTGGGCTGCCTTACCACAAGTGTCTGTTACAAACCCTTGTGCCACTATGGCTGTGAATGAAGTGTTCAAAGTCAAGTGGCTTTAAGCCATACGAGGCAGTATATCACCTTTCCTTTCAAAAACCAGGCACGAGCATGTCCCCACAGCTGTCCAGCCCAAAGAGGGTCTCCTCTTCTCCTCTGCTAATACAACATCTCATTCTTTACCTGTTCACTGACTGTTTTTTGTGACTCCTATGTAGGAAACTGAGGAAGGAATGTAATTTGGGCCCCACCATTTGAAATACAAGATCCCGCAGTTCATGGGACTTTGTAATAACCTTAGAATTACAGATTTCACTTTTTAGAAGAAATAAAAACAGAGGCCAGTGGATTAGTCTCCCTTGTAATGGAGAAAAACATTAAAACTTAAACATAAGCATGTGCTTCAAAAGCTGCATAAGGTACAGGCGGCTTGAAAAGAGATAATTGCTAAGCTGGGGCAGGATACCTTTGTGCAACACAGCTGTGGATTTCCATAGGAATCTGACAAATGCTTAAGTAATCCACAAGACTGAGATGATGGTTTATTCATCCTTTCTGCTGCTTTATACTACTTAATGTATTATATCAGGTGAAATTTTAAAACCATTGTACACTTTACAGAGGTGATATTCCTTAAAGGAAATTAATTGGTTACTTTATAGTTACTATAGGACAGTAAAAAAACTGTGGAATTGCCTTTTTTTTTTTTTTTTTTAATGTGTACATGTGTACAGGAGGAGGGATTTACCCTGGCTTGGCCTGTTGCTTTGTTTATAGCTGTAAGCTTCAGTATTACTCTTAAGTTGGTAGCTGCAGTGCTACCAACTGCACTCCAGCTTGTCTCCTCACTGCTCCAGCTGCCTACGGTAAATGTGAGGGACCATTAACTTTCTTGCTGTCTCTGAGCATAAATACTGTTCAAAAGCAAGGGACATGGAAGGTGACACAGAATTGCTCTCAAGAATAAGGTGTCAGGTTAATAGGGCAATATGAGGGATCAAACACCCTGTGATGGAGCTGAGCGGAGTCTTTAGATAAGTAACAGCAGAATCCATAAGGTCCCTGGAGATTTTGAAGCAGTGAGACATGGATTGACTTGACGATAATGTATGTTGATATCATTGATAGATATGAAGATCCCACCCCATCCCCGTTTGCTTTGGTGGATTTGTTTTTACTTGCTTTAGAAAGGCTCTTTCTGGTGTAGGGTAAGATGTCAGGGAGTTGCAGAGCTTTCTGTTCCCGTTATCAGCCCTGGAATAGCTGGTCAGTGATGGTTAATGTGTGACTCATCAGCTAATGCTTTGGAGACTAAAAGTCTTATGTCAATGAGCAGAAACATTGAAGTCTGAGAGGCCCAAGCTGTTGGTAAGCAGCAGAAAGGGAAGAATGGGAGAGGTGCTCATGGGAACAGGAGCCCAGTGAGGTCTCTTTATCTGGGGGACCTCAAAATTGTGGCTTTGGATGGTGAACCACTAAGTGCTATAAAAAGAGCTGAATCACTTTTGTGGTGTGGGTTATCACCTCCCTTTGAAACCTGGTTCAAGAATAAAGATAGGGAATTAAGCCAGCTAGACCTTCCTCACTTCTCTGACCTCTGATGGTATCAGGGATAGCCATTGCTATGCTCCATTCAAGATCTGAAGATAAGGCGTGAAGCCAGATGATTGCTGGATGAGGCCTGGTTCCTTGCCTACTCAGGTGATAGAGATACCATTCACGGATGTCTCCAAGTGCAAGCTCAGGGTCACCAGTGAACCAGCAGCATTGTTACCCATGAGCTGAATTGCAGCCAGTGGCTGGGTTGAACCTTTGACTGAAGGAGGCAGCTTCATAGTTTCAGACTTTTTGAAACACTTACTTTGCCAGGCATTGAAATGCCTATTGCTTATCCTACCAGATCCATTATTTGGCAATAAGCTGGTTTTATCCAAGTTGAGCCTACTGTTCTCCCAAGCAGTGAAGGGCGATACAGATGTGTCATTCAGGACACTGATCACTTGGGTCTTCTTTGTTGCATGCAGGCATTGCATGATGATGTTGAATAGGACCTACGTGTCATCTTTGTTGGACTGCAGAATTGGAAGGGGGTGTTGAGTGTGCCTGTCCAGCAAACAGAGTGCAGGGTTTCTCTTGGCCCCTGTTACTGCTTTCTTGCCTGAAAATTAGTTTTCCCTTCAGGTAGAGGCTGGAGTTCCTGGCTGGCTTCAGGGAAAGGCACTAGATTTGGTGTGAGGAAATCAGTGACAGCTTGCTTTGAACATCCGTATAGAATACTATCCGTGGCATTGGGTTGGTTTCTCACCAGAAAGCAGGAGCAGGGTAGGTGTGCAGGTCTTAGTGACTCTGGGCTGCCCAGGCGTTTTCCACAGGCAGTGCAGGGAGCTCGAGTAGTCCAGGTGAGCTGCCAAGGCAGAACTAACTTCTCTGGGAAACATTTCCGTATGTTCTTGGAAGAAGTACAATACTGGGTTTTGGCCATGCTTGGCATCTGCATTCAGCGTGCACGCTGAGGGGATTGAAAAAGCAGCATGCTCGCTACCTGCATTAGGTGAGGTCTGGATAGTTGTAGTAAAAGTTGTCTTGGCCAGTAATAAGCTTAGAGGTTGTACTTGCTAGCGGGCTTCTGATCACACATGTGCACACACACAAATCCTTTTGAGAAGGGAAAATATGAGGCTTTTCTCTTTTAGTACTACAGTACAGAGGACTTTGATGCAGACTTTCCTAAGCTAAAATATGCTAAGTCCAGATAATCAGTGGGTTTGTGGGTAATTTTAATTAAAAAAAGAGTTGAGTGCTCGATAAAACACTGCTGCTTCTTCGGTCTCTTGAAATACAGTGCTGCTTAGTCTTTAATCCCCAACCCCGCTGTTCGCTCCAGGTTATAAAGAAAAGCAAGTTCATGTCTGGGCATGTCTGTGACTCATGCGAGGCACAAGTGTGAGATCTTTATTGGATCACCCAACATGGAGGAAAAGTGCTGCTGCAATGGCATGGTGCCTTGCACTCTTAAATTTCATTCCATGGAGCTACATTAATAAAGTATAATTTTTAACTCCCAGCTTTGTCCATGTTTACACCAGGAGGGGGAAAGAAAAAATATGGAATACTGTGTTCCAGTAGCAGTGAGCACTTGAGTGCAAAATGCGTTTACGTTGTAACAGTTGAAGCTTTTCTGATAAATTAAGACACTCAAGTTGTTATTGATCTGGCACTGCAAAGTCATACTCCTCCGAGAGTGGAGCACTACAGTTTAATAAGTCTGCCAAAAGCTGTTAAAAATTTAAAAAATGGCCAATTTTGAGCTTTGAAAGAGCTTGGCTTGATAGAAATACTATTTTTTAAAAAGTGAATGCTTCAAAACAGCAACAAATGAATGCCAGAACTTGCAGCTTGTGTTGTAACCCTTGAATTCCCTGAATGATTGTCACCGTTTAGAGCAGGGCGGCAATAAACAGTGGCAGATGCTCTTTACTAACCTCTGCCCTCCCACCAAAGGAAGGGGAAAAGGAGAAAAAGGGAGAGACTTACAAACTGAATATAAAAAGTGTTAATAATAATAACAGGAGAAATAAGGCAAAACATACAAAACCAACACTGAGTTTCCCAGAGTTGGGTGTTGGGTGCTGGCATCCCGCCAGCAGCTGCCGGGCAGCACCAGGCAGTCCCAGACTGGCCTTGGCAGCAGACAGGAACTGGACTCAGGAACGCACGGATCGGGATCTGGATCAGGATTGCAGGCAGGACAAGGAACAGAGTCCTCTTCAGCAGCTGGCCGTGGACAAAGAGAGTGAGACGCTCGTGATCCCCCAGCTTTAAACCGAGTATGATGTGCATGGCATAGAATATGGTGTTGGTCAGTATCGGGTCACCTGTTCTGTCCTCCCCTCCCTGCAAGTGCGACCCTTTACAACCCTCACTTGTGGGACCTAAGAGATCTATTGGTGACCTTGGCTGCTATAGTAATAATTATAAACAGGGGCCTTTTTCTACATTCCTTTCTTACCGTTAGCTCAGTGTAACTATAAACATTAGGTGTCACCAGCTTTGGAGCAGACATTGTCTGTAAAATACGCAGCCAACTTCAGAAAAATGCAGTTACTTAGAAGAGCTTAGCTATAAGAATGATTCACTAAAAGAGAATTGGTTCTGTTTCAACCAAAACCAGAACAATTACTGTAGTTGTGTATAACAACAATTTAAAATCAACCGAAACAACAGGGTCTGTAGCCAGTAGGATGCAAAGGGCTGATGTGGTTAAGGTCATGAACTGCCATTGATTTTTGTAATGCTGGCAGTGACTTCTCTTTGCTGAGCTCTATGTGAGCTCAGACAGAGGCTGCTCCTGTCCTGATGGATGTGCCAGAAGGGGTTTAATTATCATAGCTCTTTCCTTGTGATGTTATTAGCTGGTATATAGTAGTGATACTCAGCAGGCCAGTTTTGGGGCTGGCTGTCACTCCTGAGTCAAAACTACAGTTCTTTGCCCCATGTGCTCTTGCTGGTTTTGCGGAACAGCATCACAGTACCCCAAAATTGTATGTATCCTTTCTGCGTATGTCAGCAACTCACTGGCAGCCCTCAATGAATAAATCTCTTTGCAGCTATGGCCACTTCCGTTGAGAGTGGCTTCCTATGAAAACAACCTGTCCTGTAGCCAGTGCAGCTCTAAATTTGTATTTCCAGGGTTTTGTTGCTGATGTGAATTGCTTCCTCTGTAATATTCCTCAGGAAAGAGGTGTTCTCACTTGTTTGGGTCATACAAGCTATTTCTTCTCAAGCATTCCTTTGTAATTACTGAATGTGTGTGTCAACCGAAATAAACTTACTCCTTTTCATCTTATAATGAAAACATTGTAACTTTATCCCCTGCCTTGAATAGAAAATTAGTGATTGCTCAAAGCTAATAAGGGGGCGTGGGGCATGAAATCCCTTTTAATATCTTCAATGCTATATCTGCACAGGCTTTTGCATTCCAATCCTTATATTTCCTGTAATCACCTTTGTGAGTAGTGTTAGTTCAGTTGCTCTTGTGTTTCTGACCTGTAAAGCATGGGAATATTTGCAAAGTAATTTAGTATTCTCAGATGTAAGCTGATACTGTCACACATTTCAAAAGCATCGAGAAGAGAACAGTTGGTAGTTTGTTTTATTTACCTTTGCGTATTTTGTTTGTATTGAGTGACCTCCTTATTTTTTTCCTCTCTTGTTTTATCTTATTTTTTTTTCTTCTAGGTCTATAATTAGCAGGAGATTTTTCTGTATAGTTGGCACACTATACCTGTATCGGTGTATTACAATGTATGTGACTACACTCCCAGTACCTGGCATGCATTTCAGGTGTTCTCCAAAGGTAAACTATTTCTGTCTGTCTTTCCATATTTTGATCTGTATGTTTTCCGCTTGTCCTGCTGTTACCAGAACTGTGAGCAACACTTTCTCAATAATTGTTACTAATTTGAAAATACCGGTTTGGCGTGATGGGGACGTCCTTCTGCAGATCATCAGCTTCCCTCTCGGTGAAGGTGTTGACGGTTGCTTTGGGGCAGTGTAGGCATTCCCACCCTTTTCAAAGTGCTAATCTATGCAATTTCTGTAGCATTTTCAGCTAATTTGCATGTTCTGCATTTTTCTGTTTCCACTGAAGCAGACAAAGATGTGCAACCCATGGAGGTGCCATGTGTGTCAAATCCACGTATGACTGGTGTTTGAAAATGGCCCAGAGAGACTCTTCTAAGGCTGGTGAAACTCGTGTCTCCTTTGCAGCCGTTTGTCCCTGCATATATTTTTGCAGTTGTGTTAGCCTAAGGACTTGCTGCCTCCTCTCCAGCCTAGCACTGACTCCTGTTTGTTGTGCTGAGGAATAAAATGGGCTTGCGAAAGCGTGGCTGAAACCAAGCTACTGACATAGAGGTGCTTAGGCAAGACCCTTGTAGTCAGCCTTGAATGGTAATTCGCGTGCTTGAGGTGGAGATGGGACAGGGATGGTGGTGTTGCATCCATCTCATATCACACAAGCATTGGTGTAAGCGTGGTCCTTACTGCAACATGCTGTTTGTGGTAGGGAAATGCGGTCTAATACAGACTGAACTTCTACGGTAGTGAACAAGGTGTATCTATGAGACACAAGTGTTCTTTCTCCATAGTGGTTCATCTCCGTGCCTCTCCTGCAGTTGTTTGTGCTATAACTTGATTTAAGCAGGAGAAAGAGGGGTAAAGAACTAATTTCTATGAGGTATCTACTGCATGCACAGTTCAGCAGTTTTGTATGCACAGCCGTTAGTGAGATGACAGGTAGTAAAATCACAAGTCAGACTCCTGATTTGACTCAATAACATGTGCAGATGCTGTTTCAATGAGGATTACTGGTACGTACAAACCTGCAGTACAAAGTTGAAACATTTCAGTTCCTCGGGGAAATAAAGTCAACAAATGTGCTGCAGGAGTTGTTTGACAAGGCAGAGCATTTGCCAAGCCACGTGTGGCTTCGTGAGGGACCAAGGTCTTTGTAAACAAAAGTGACGGGAGAGGAATCAACGTTGTATTTGATCAGTCAGCTGTTATGAACTTAAAAAAGCAAGAACACAGATATGTATGGGCCAAAGTGAGTAAGTCTGCCATTTTTGGAAATTCACAGCATTGGCAAGTCTGCCTCATTACTCAAGTAAAGACAAGTTTGTGTTGTAATCTTCTGTTGTCCCAATAAGACTAAGGATTAGCTGAGCTTTCTTGAAAGCTATAAATATACTGGTGGGAAACGAATAACCTCTCAACACCTTAGTGAGTTATGTGTGATTGTGAAGAGTGGGCTTTGAGGAGCGTTTTCATGTTTTGTAAGGAGCTGTTAGAAGGAAGTATTTTAATCACTGCAAAGACCCTGCATAAGTCTGTCTGAAAAGTACAATTTCCACTTCTTAAAGCAAGAATGAGCTTTTAAAATAAAGGAACAACATGCCTGTAATGGCCAGCTGGGGGTATCCATGTTTGCTGGACTGTTAAATGGTTATTGTGGATTTTAAAACTTCGTAAAATGAGATAAGGATGCAGCACGTGTGTAGTCGTGTGCATTGATCCATTAGTCCTCCTCCTTTGAGCTCAGATGGGTCCTGCTTCCCGTTGGGTCCTGGAGGTGCTCAGTACCTCCTGGTTGTGTTTGTCCTACAGCGCACGTTTTCTTTGTGGATTTGTTTAGCATTTGGCCTTGTGTAAGATCTGGGAGCAGCAGAAGCAAGGTCTGGGGATGGTGCTAGCCACCTGTCAGTCACCTTGGAGGAGGGACAGGGATGTCCTCACCAGCAGGACTTGGTTTGCTTTATTTTGGCTTTCCTAAGACAAATTGAAGTTTTTTCAGAAATACCCTCTGAGCCAGTGTTGTGGATTGGAGGTGGGACAAAGCAAATCCATCATGCATGGAGGAATGTCCCTGTTGCTCACGTGGATTGTGTGAGTTAAAGCTGTGCAGAAGATTGGCACTGTGCTCTGACGAATACCATATATGTTTTTGCAATCTGAAGTGGAAAGAAACAATTTTGAAGACTTTCCAAGGTGGGGTGGTGGGAGGCCTTAGAGTTTGGAGTGAGATACTCTCTTCTGTGCGTTAAATCTGGGTTTGGGTTAGGTGTACATACATCTTGGGCACTTTGTCCTGTTTTCTGTTGGATACCATCTGTAGGGCATGCGCTGTTATGAACAGAATCACAGAATCACAGAATATTAGGGGTTGGAAGGGACCACTGTGGGTCATCTAGTCCAACCCTCCTGCTG